CATTCATACCATGTGAGTAATCCTGCCATTTTTATTGAGAATTGACTTGATTGATAGATGAACTAAAGTGTCAACACCTCTCAAATGCTCGTACGAAAACAGAAAAGATGAACGACCGAGATGTATCCCCCGTGAACTTTTCGGATGCATTCCGTATACAAGATTATTTTACTACCAAATTTACATAATCTATTGGATTCCTGACATAGAACTCGCCAAGATGGAGTATAACTCGCTGGAAGAACATGAAAAAGAAGATTGGATTGAAGAAAGAAAAGAACAGGTTTTAGCATGTATGAGCGAACTTCGAAGATATTATCATCAAGATTATCGAGAGGTTTATAAATGTGGTGTATTTAATCCCAATGCCAGGAAGGTTATACCTCACAAAAAGAAATTCCTAGAGAACAGAAACACTTTATATAAAATAAATCCCCGTGAAGAATTATTATAGACATATATCAAAATTGAAAAACTTTTCATAATTTGTGTAGGACGTCATACTCGGAAAACACACCTCTTTTTTCTAAATATTGAATCAAAGCAGTCCAAGGAAAATGCTGTCACAAATTCCTTATATTTTAAAACATACAGTACAACTGTGTTGAGTCTTTCTTCAAGGGAAGAAAGGCAAAGGAATGCGTCAGTAAATATATGTCTCAATTTAACGATTCCGTGAATATTTGAACAAAAAAAAAAGTTTGAGGTATTTCAACAAAAAAAGCTCAATAGATACTCGAAAATTTGAAAATTATTACACGAAAATCAAAATGTTCCGACCACCAATATATACCAGGTATAGAAAAACTTTTATCTACAAATATTGGGAATCACAACGGAACATGTAACCTTTTAGCGAAGAACACATTCCAATTTGAATTATTGCGAAAGTGATTGTAAGGAATTGTATTGAGATATAGATTTACTATATAACGAATCATTTCTTGAACTACTTTGTTAAAACGGATAAGAGCTAAACAAGTATTTCTAAAGTTTTGCCTCGATAATTTTCAATAAAAAAACACATGTTTTTGACATTTAATTGAATTGTGGAATGGAATCGAAATTTCATCTGAATATCATGCATCGTATATCATTTAATTCTGGCGTATCATGGTGACCCTCAATAACGCTAGAAAGGCTTTGATTTTGTATTATAGTTGTGGGTCCGAAGATGCTGAAATCTTCGGTCTGATCTTCGAATGAATCGTAAATTTTTGAATTAAGTGATTCCTGAATGCATTCGTCTTAATTAATTCTCATAATACTACATTCTAATGTTTTTTATCAACAATAAAATTCAAAACTTTGGTCTATATATTGCGAAATTTCAGGCAAATTTTCACAAGACAATACTCGTCATTCAATAAGTGTATGGTGTTCCAACATTTTTTAGGACTGAAATATAGCAGAGCTCACCAAAATACTCGATTTAAGCATGACGTTACCATCCTGAATCGTCGGCATCATTATCGGAATAATGAAAATAGAAGTCATTGGGGTCAAAAAAATTGGGAAGGTCAAAGATCTCCCTCGCTCTATTTTCTACCTCTTCTGAAACCTTCATTTCACCCCACCCTGATTCATACATGAACCCAAAAGATTTCAGACTTTTCCTTTCTAGCGCATATTTCATAAGAACCTCCATATGTTCGTCTCCAACGCGACCAAAAGTCATAATTAAAGTTTTTATAGGCGCTTCACAATTATTTAAGAATGATTGCAGTGAATTTGGTGAAATCCTTACGTCCATATCAAGTTGGTGCAAGGATAATGGCACGAGCTTGGATAACGACGGTAGAATTTCGGTGGCGTCAACACCATTCGTGCGAATGACAAGCTTTTTAAGTTTTGAGGAGGTGATGCGCGAAAATAATAGTTTGATTTTTTCCGCACCTCGCAAGAAAATTTTGATATAAGAAATATTTGGGCAATGGTCCGTCAATATTTCAATGAATTGGGGAATCCTGTCTGTCACTTCTCGATCAACAATCACTTCCACAAGCCTTTCGTTGGCCTGGGTAATGATTTTCTCAATTGCCTCTGGCAGAACTGAAACTTGTACTAGTGATAATTTTTTAAGTCGGAAATCTGAATTTTCAACAATTGGTTTCCAAAATCTGTCGACATCGATTCCATGGCAGCTAAAGAACTCTAGCACCTCCAAATTATTACACCCAACCAATCCTCTTAATGTAACATCAGTAAAACTTACATCCATAAATTTTATTGTTCTAAGACTTTGTGCTTGTGATCTCAGAGCTGCGACCAATCTCCATGTACCGCCATAAATTGAACGGTATGTCAAATGTCTCAAGCTATTTTGTGACCTGATAAAGGCGGCCAAGTTACGTTCATTCGACTTTCGATAATCTTGAATTTCCAGTTCAGTAACATTGGAGATCTTTAATAACTGTCTATACGTGTTATCTTCGGCAGAACTGCCGCCGCAACGAAGATATTTCACTTTTGACAATGTTTCTCCGGGAAATTTTAGAAGATTAGGCAGTTCAACACGTGCATTATTATGATACCAATTCAATGATCTAATGTGTTTTCCCCTTCTTACAAATGTAAGGATGAGCTTGTTGATGACGAAATCCGTCAAGATATCCAATTGCGCCCATTGACTTATAGCTGTATAAAAGCCATAATAATCTAATTCCCTTAGTAATGACACATAATCAAATAAAGGTCGCTTAGCATTATGAAAACCTTCCACAGATTCGAACTCCCTAAAAGAACTCTTTTCTCTTTCACTTAGACAAGAAACATAGGTGCGTATTAATTTATCTGAATGCTTAATTGGTAAGAGAGTAAACGGGTGACTCCACAAAAGAGGTACGATCCATTTGCAAAAGGTCCGGCTGACAAACAAGCAAGAGTATAGTGAGTCTTTGTCATTTAATAGGTGTTTGAAAACCTCTTGATAGCATTCATTTGTCAGGTGAACTCTTTTAGAGCTTGAGGAAGACATCTTTTGATGCACTCGCGTTAGTGCTAGAAACTAATTACTATTGGTCTGAGAGTTCGTTGAATATGATTGGTTAAAGAACATCTCATCAATTATACATATACTTTTACTTAGGGTTGGATCGGTCCGGTCTGGTCCGGTCTCAGTCCTAGTAAGACCGGTCTTATAATGTTTGTCGGCTCAATTCGGTCGGTCCTCGGTTCCAAAACGGTTCTTAGCAGACTATTTTTTAAATTCAGCTAATTTTTATTATATGAAACAAGCGAATAAATAGCAAATTTTTTTTTTTTAAAAAAAGTTTTAGAATTTTCAAAAAAAAATATGTAATTTAATAACAGCAAAGCATGCAATACATTGTATTTTAGTATGTAATTTAATAACAACAAAGCATAAAATTAATATATTTAGCATATTTCTTCATGAATTCAACTTTTTAAATATAAAATCACTCTTGCTAACTCTTTATCTAACCTATTTCTTAAAACTGAAATTGTTTGCCCTGCCACTGAAAAAGCCTGCTCAGAGGCAACACTAGTTGCTTGAATAAATAAATAATCTTAAGTGATCAGACTTAGGATTGGATATTCATGATATTGTGCTTGCCACCAAAGTAATGGATTGACTTGATCCTCTAAAGGTAGTAACAAATATTTTTTTATCTTATCTTGAACATGATTTGTTAGAAATAAAAGAAAATCTGACTTATTATCAGATATAGAAAAAAAAAACATATTTTTAGAAAATAAACTATTATCTTGTAATTGGTGAAAATAATTTTGCATATCCATTAGATCATTCTTTATAATTGTTATGATTGACTAAGATGCATTAAAAGAATATTCTGATAAGTTTAATACTAAATTTATTACTTTATTTCTTTCATTTTCATCCTTAAATATTGATAACTTAGCTCACAAATCAAGTAAAGATGAAATCTGCAAAGTTTCATCTAAAATTGATCAATATTCTTCTAACTTTTAATAAATTATATTCATTATTGACTTCTAGAAAAAATTGATATTATTAATATATTATACTAAATATTCCTGGATACTAAGAAAAATGAAATGGATATTGCCATGTATTGGATAACTGGAAGCTAAAAGAAGATATATAGCATATTTAATCGACTCTAAAAGGAACATTATATCCTTTATTTGTTTTTAAAATTAATTATTAACTTTTTTTAAATTATATATAACAATAAAAAAACTAATACTTATATTAATATTAGATTGATCATTCTTATTTAAATATTGTTGATGAATCGTTTAATTATCTGCTACAAGTAAATTCAATACAGGCTTCATTCGTCTCCACTTTTCTAACATATAATATATAGAGTTCCATCTGATCTTTATGTCAATCTCAGGTGCTAAGTAATCAATACCTTTTATTGTACATAGTACTTTTAAGGCATTTCTTACGATTTGTGAATTTTTAATATAAATTATTAATGATTATACTTTAATGATCGAATTATTAATTAATTCAATATTTTGTGTAACTGCAAAATTTAATATATGAGCCACGTATCGATAATAAGAAAAATTAAAGTTACTAAATTCCTTTTTAAGCTTTTCTACAATAAACGTATCACATGTGATCATCGAGAAAACATTATCTGTGATTAAAGCAAAAATTTTTTTGGCTAAATCAAATTCATATAAAACTTGTATTATTGCATCACTCATATTGATTCCAATATATTGAATTGCTATTGGGATTATATCAAGAAGGAAATTTTTTAATTTTGAAGAAAAATTAACAAAATATATAGTAAGGCTAAGAAATGTTGAACCATTCGATGTGATTCACATATCTAAGGTAAACGCAACTTTTCTTGGAATTTGATTTTTTTTTTTTTTTTTTTTTATAGTAGAACGGGCATTAGATGCCATTGTTTATTGATATATATATGATATCACAATTATATCAAACATCTTTTATAGTGCTAGACTACAGCTTAATACTAACCTATTCTACTTTTAATGCCCCAGCGATGCAAGCGTTACTCTTAAAGTGGGCTCGTATTTTTTGGGGGGAACCTATCTAGGGGATGGAAATCCTACCACTAGTTTTAAACCATCCAACCTACCGGTCCAATTTTTGATGAGCGTTATGGTTGGGGTAGGTATTACTAACTACTTTTGTAAGCTATCTATTATGTACCATCTTTTCGCTCACAATATCATGCCATAGAGGGTACCTTTGATGCAAGCATGTACTCCCTAGTGAATGCTCCGGTTTTGACCGCTGGTTGAACACTACCAAATCTAGGGGCCTTATGGCCAACTGGGGCGTGACTCCTTAAGGGTCTAGTCTATCAATGACAGACCGACACTTCTTAACCTCCTAGTAGACAATCCAGATTTGGACCGATTGGCATATGCTACCAAATCTAGAGGCATAAATGCCAAGCAGGATGCAACTCCTACATGCTCTGTCTCACCACATGGCTGCCATATCTGCACATGGGCATGTGTCAGTTCAGTGGTTTTCTTCAAGATATCCTTACTCGGTAGTTAATAAGGAAACTTGGTAGCTTGGAATTGGTTAAGATGGAGTATAGCCCAGTCTGTACATCCAAATGAATAAGTAGTTCTATGGCTCTTTTCGTAGACGATCATCGTAACACCATCCAGACGATCGTCACACCACTACACCTTAACGGAAAGATCACAATCCTAACGCCTGCTGAATCAGCATGTGAAACGGCTTCTTATGGAAAACGGTACATAATTGGTTATGGTGCCAGATACCATGTTAATCTATTCAATCATCTTTACATGGAATTGAACTGGTATCTTGTGATCTGACCTGTGGAGCACTAACCACTGTGCTATGGATCCACAGGTCTTCTTGTATATATTATATTATAAAATATAAATTCTAATTATATATATTAACTTACAAAAAAAAAAAAAAACTCTTTTTCGAAAAACCACAAATTTCCAAAAATTTTTTTTTTGGAAATATACAAAAATACTTCAAGAAATATCAGAAAAACACCTAAAGAAAACCTTCACCAAGAAGAAACACTATATTATTACTTTTTAAAATCCAAGGAGAATATATATAATAAGTATCACTGAATCTAAAAGAATATCAACTCTTTGTTTTTATTTCAATACAAATAAATATACACTTGTTTTTTTTTATTGGAAAGAAGGAAAAAACAAGAAATACAATTCATAGTAAAGTAAAGAAGAAAGTCAGCACTGCATCTCACAAGCTACTAGCCAGTCATGTATCAGATTAGATATCTCCCTAGACACCAGTAAGGCCTTGTATCAGCCAGATCACATCTGGTAAACCAGGCAATCTCACCACTAACACAAAACCAGAGGATACCAAAACTTTCTTAACACTGTGTTTAGAAGAAAAGCAAAAAATCAAACAAAGTTTACACTATAAACAACAATCATCACATGGATTGATCTACATTGGAATCAAAAAACCAAAACCAGTTTACCCACCAAAAGATCAGCAGTAACACAGACACGTGTGTATATTTCCCCACAAATCAAAACAAGAAAACAAACATGTTTGTTTATAGAGTTGAAAATTAAGGTTCAGTTATATTCCATATCTAAAACAACAACAAACAAACAAATAGAACAACCAAATTAAGAAAAGACATGTGTTACAAAAAAACAATAGATAAACAATACAACATAGCACATGTAATACAATTGTATAAAATCAATACAATAGTAGAAACATCAGCAATTTCATTGAAGGATCATATAATAGATTACCTCAGAACACTAAAAGACAATTATAATGAAGGAGATCAGAGATGGCTTCGTACTCTTATAGAAGATGGAACAACTAATACATTATCTGAAATTTCAGATCTGTGAGCACTTATAAATATCATAGTCATTGATGCTGTTGTCACAAGGCTCCTTAACATTGACTCAAAAACTGTAATCAAATGGGTTCTAGCTAAAGAATATGTCAAACAAATATGGAAATTCAACCAATATGATATGATTATTCTGAATAAATTCTTAATTGAAGACCTCCAACAAGTTGTTTAAATCTTAAGCATATTTCAACCAACACAGAGCAACTTAGAACAATATAATATCAAACAAGTCCAAACAACATATAACAATATAAATCAAGAATCATTAGATATAGGCCAACAAATTCCTGAAGTAGAATGAAAGAATAAGCTAAAGAAGATTTAATTATAATGAAGAAAATACAAATTCCAGAAATAACTATGGAAGAATAACAAACTTTGAAAAAGGATACAGACATTAACACTTTCATCTCAATTCCAAACCTAGATATCAAAATAATACCGGATTATACAACAAGAAATAGACAGTATCAATTAACAAATCTCTTTTATATCTATAAAAGAAGGTCTTATAAAGCTGGAATAATGATAGCAAATATACCAGGAGATAACAAACCTGAACAAATTAAATACCTGGCCAATATACTCAAATTCCCAAAAGACAAACAACATTTTATTCAATTTCTTTTTTTCAATAATAATGGATGGTATGCCATTTGCTTTGAATATGAGAAAAACTTAATAGTATACATGAACAAAGTCAATTCAAAAGATAAAGAAAATTTCCACTTGATTCAAATACAAGCTCAGGAACATTTAACTAAAAAAACAAAAGAGAATAGGATAAGAAACTCCAATAGGAACAATAACTTCAATCAAAAAAAAGCCATATACAATTCCATCAATCACTTCAATCTAACTAATTGTTCAGGAAAAGCTCAGTTAAGAATCAAAGGCAATTTATTTCCATATATTTGTAGAGAAGAACAGCTACAATATATAATTAATAAGCTAGATGTATCATTGGAACATGAAGGCATACAAGTATTAGTCATTAAAAAAAACAAATGAATAATCCTATATTTCAACAATATAACAGATACACACAAATGCAAGCATCAGTTACTAGAACATATCCAAGAACACAACATTATTATTATTACAAATAATAATACAGGAAACAAAGCAT